CAAGAAATCTCATTAAAAAATGCAAAACCATAACAAAGTCTTACAAGCGAGAAAACCCCGAAACAGCCGACATGAAACTGAGAGCAACACAGAGGTGTGCTAAACCAACCGACCATAACAGGATTATGAAGCTAGAACAGATCACTAGGAACTTCAACATCCAAAACTAAGAAAACATAACTAGAAAGCCAAGAGAACAACAAAAACTATAACAACCAGCAGACCCAAAACTAGACCAACAAATAACAAAGAGGAAACAGAATGGAACACAACTGAAATGAAAGCAGTCAGGAGGACTTTAAGCCGCAGAACTCTTGCCATTCCATTTGAGCTCTTTTGGCCACCAAGAGCACTGGCATTTTCTCCTTGCTAAATATCCAGAGATTCCTCGAACGCCATAACCACCATAGGATATAGGTGGTAAGCTGGATCCTAGATTCTGAAACTTCTGATATAGGAATTGAGCAAACTTGCCACCACCAGTTTTTGAAGCTGCAGTTCTCAATGTCAATGCCATCCCAGGTCAGAGGAGAAAGCTTCCACACTTCTTTGGCTCTGATGCAGGTGATAAGAATATGTTCAATGGTTTCATCAGCTTCACCACAATGTCTACAGATTGAGTCAACCATTAGACCTTTTTTCCTAAGATTGATGCAGACCGGGAGAGTACCAGTGAAGCATTTCCAGATGAAATGCTTAATTTTTCCTTTCACTCTAAGCTTCCAAGTTCTCATTCTGACCTTGTTGTCTAAGGTTCTACTGCTGCTACCCTCAGCAATATCAAGAGCTTTGAATTTGTCCTCAATGAGATGAGCATAAGAAGCTGCAACTGAAAAGGCCCCTTTGCTGTCAAAGTTCCATCTCCATCTGTCTTCAAGATCTGGTGCAAGTGATTTTATCTCCATAATGGCTCTGCCATCAGTGACTGAGAACATCTCCTTTACGGTATTTTCCTTCCAATGTCTGCCATTACTATGAATTAGATCACTGACCATCTCCAAGTTATCAGGATTTCTGACAATGTGGGGGGCAGAGAGTCCAAGTTTTGGAACCCAGCCAGCTTCTTTGATTTTGGTTTGCAGCCCTCCTCTGATCTCTTTCCAAATACCTTGCTTAAAGATAGGCAACACTTCCATCTAGTTGTTCCAAAGCCAGGAGCTTGATGGTTTTCTTTGAGCTTCAAAAATAGGAGGAGGGATAATCCCTGCTTTTGAGAATTTGGCTGACCAGAAGTTGTGGTTGGGAAGTGATTCTCCAGAGTTGCTTAAGGATCAGAGCTTCATTGAAGAGCTTGTAATCCTGAAATCCCAGCCCTCCAAGATGCTTTGGAATGGTCATCAGTTCCCATCTCTTCCAGTGAATGCCTCTGTCCATATCAGAATTCTTGCTCCACCAGAAGTAAGCTGTGATTTGGGACAGTTCCTTGCAAACTCTAAGGGGGATTTTGAAGCAGGACATAGTGTAGACAGGTAAGGAGTTGATGACTGCTTTGATGAGAACTTCCTTGCCAGCAGATGTGAAGTATTTGTTTTTCCAATTGACTAGTCTGCCTCTGGCTGCTTGTAGTACAAACTCAAAAGCCTCCTTCTTGGATTTGCCTATACCCAATGGCAGACCAAGGTATCTGGTGGAAGTATGGGTAGCAATCCCTTCAAAAATCTGGCTGATGATGGCTTTGGTGGAAGGGGGAGTGTTTTTGCTGAAGAAGACTGTAGATTTTGACATATTCACCTTTTGGCCTAAGAAAAGCTGGTACTTTCTGAGGATGTTCATAATGAGTATAGCTTGGCTAGTGTCTGCTTTGCAGAAGACTAAAGAGTCATCTGCAAAAAGGAGATGGGACAGTGTGGGTCCACCTCTGGACAGTCTTAAATCTTTGAAGAGAGAGTTGGAGATTGCATTGTTTATCAGGGCTGAGAGTGCTTCAGATACTATGAGGAAGAGATAAGGAGATAGAAGGTCACCCTGTCTCAATTCTCTTGATGGTTCAATGTAGCCCACTGCTTCCCCATTCAGAAGAAAGGAAAATGATGTGGCTGTAATGCAAGCTAAAATCCATCTGATGAAAGTAGTCTCAAATCCCATTTTCTGCATTATAGCTTTGATGCTACTCCATTCTACCCTGTCAAAGGCCTTCATCATGTCAAGCTTCAATGCCATGAAGCTATGAGGCCCAGTTCTGTGTCTGTTCATATAGTGGAAGGCTTCTTGTGCTATGATGATATTGTCAAGAATGTTTCTGCCAGTCAGGAAGGCACCCTGGGAAGAACTTATGCAATCATGTAGACATTGTTTGAGCCTTGATGCCAAGATCTTTGCTATCAGTTTATACACCACACTGCAGAGGCTAATGGGCCTGAATTAGGATATTGATGTAGGATTTACGCATTTTGGGATTAGTGTGATGAGGGTGTGGTTCCAGTACCTGAGTATTTGGGCTGAAGAGATGAAAGATTCAACTGCAGCACAGAGGTCATCTTTGATAATGGGCCAGTAGTGCTGATAGAATAGAGAAGTCATGCCATCTTCTCCTGGGGACTTCAGAGGATTCATTTGGAATAGAGACTGTTTTTTTTCTTCCTCAGTGATGTTGGCCACTAGCTGAGCATTCATGTCTGGTGAAATGGATGTTGGGATGTGCTGAATTATGTCAGCTGAGCCATGTGAATCTTCAGTGGAGAAAAGGTTATTGTAGAAAGTTGTGATTTCTCTTACAATGGCCTTTTTGGTATCACAGACATTCGAATTCTCAGAAATGAGTCTTGAGATGGCATTGTGCTTCCTTCTTTGCATAGTGTAGGCATGGTAAAAGCTTGTGTTTTGGTCACCTTCTTTGAGCCACTGGACTCTAGACTTTTGTTGCCAATACATTTCTTCAGAGCTGTGAGCCTGATCCAGCTCTTTTCTGATTGCTTCCCATTCATCCCAGTTTTTGCCTTCACCCAACTATCTCATTTCCTCAAGCTTAAGGGTAAGATTGGTTACTTTCTCTTTGTGATCGGTTCTGAAGAGTTTGCTCCACTTGGACAATGCAATTCTGGTTTGTTTTATTTGCTCCTTTAGTTTGAAGAAAGGAGTCCCTTCTTGAGGTATAGCCCAAGCCTTTTCTATTTCCTCCTTGCATCCATCTCTCTGAAGCCATCTTTTGTCAAACACAAATCTCTTTTTTAGCTTCTTATGAGTGACCTTATCCTCCAACAATAAAACTCCATGATCAGAAGCACTCCTGTACAGATTGGATATCTGAGAGTTAGGATATTTAGTCAGCCAGGCTAAAGACCCAAATCCCTTGTCTAGCTTCTCTTCAACATATCCTTCTTGCATTCTGTTGTTGTCCCAGGTGAACTGGTATCCAATCATTGTGATTTGCTCCATGCCCATAGAAGAGATGAAATTGTTAAAGGCCTTGAAACTGTTGACTGGTCTGACTTTACCCCCTCTTTTCTCTTCCATTCAGCTTATGTCATTCCAATCTCCAATAATAGCCCAAAGATCTCCCCATTCAGCCTTTTCTGATTCAAGAAAGTTCCATTGCTGGATTCTAGCATCTTTATCAGTGCTCATATAGACAAAGGTAATCCACATCGACTGGTTCTCATTAGGCATAGAGTACTTCACTTGTATGAAAAAATCTGAGCTTTTAATATGAATGATAGAAATTGTGGTATCCCACATTAGCAGCAAGCCCCCTTTTGTACCAACTGGTTCAACTAACTGAGGTCTGCCCTCAAAGCCAAGCTTTTTGCAAACATCTAAAGAAAACTGCTTTTGTTTTTTTACTTCTGACAGAAAAACAAAATTTGGGTGGTGAGATAGGATTACCTCTCTTATCTGGGATACTGTAGAGGGTCCACCTAGACCTCTACAGTTCCACACCATGGCTCTCATTGGGACTTCACCAACGAGTCTGATTTCTTTTGTCTTTTCAGTTCTAGGTCTGCTTTGTTCTGGTCCCCTGGTTCTGAGATTATGATTCCTTGGTATACTCTTTTATGCCCTGATTGTGTTTGAGTGGTCTGCATATCCCCTATATTCCTGGCCAATCTGCCTGCTTTGGTAGCTGATCTCTTCCATGTTATTCTCTTGCTAGATTTTTCTTGTAGAGGAGAAGGGTGTGAGAGAGCTACCACCTGTTTGTCTATCTCCATTCTGAGTTTGATAGCCTCCTCTTTATCTTTAGGCCTGCTTTCTTGACTTTTTGAGATGGGCTGTGAGAATGTTACTATTTCTTTGCCTTTGGGATTTGAAGTAGAGTGGTGAATAGATGCTGAGGACCCTTCGATTTCTTGGTTTAAATTATGATCACTGGGTTTATGGTTCGTATTTTTGGATGCTACTGGATCTTTGGGCAAGGATTGTCTGAGGTTGTCAGAGGCTCTTCTGTTGTCTGCTGAAGTGCTGTGTTGATTGGGTTCTTCTGAGTTTGGTTTTGATTGGCTACTTTGGGGAGGGGAGTTGGAGATGATAGTACCTTCTGCTGCTTTTATCCATTCTCCGAATTGACCTTCGTTGAGTTCTTGATTGGCTATATCTTCTTCTTTCTTCATACAGCCTTTGTCTGTGTGGCCCACTTTACCACAATAGTAGCATAAGCTTACCAGTTTTTCATATCGAAACTGAATGGTTGTGACTTGCTCTCCCAGCCTTATTTTGGTCCATCGTGGTAAAGGTTGATGCAGGTCTATTTCCACCTGAAGTCTTAGAATTCTGCCTCCCTGCCCGCCGGCCTTAGCCATGTTAACATATTTAACCTTTTTGAAGACATTCCCCAGCTTAAGCCCTACCTCTGTCGTTAGCCAATGGACTGGGAGACCATGGGCTTGGACCTAGAGTGACATCACATCAAAGCAGGGGTGATTAGCAGAGATACCTTCTTGCCATTCCTTGAGGATTAGGTGTTGGTTCTCAAACAGCCAATTCCTTCCTTCTAGTATCCTGATGAGGTCTTCTCTTTTCTGGAATAGGAATTGAAAGAAATTCGTGCTAATTTCTCGAACTTCTAGGGTATTTCCCAATTTCCAGAGAAAGCTCATTGTGCGCTTGATTCCAACCCAATTAGCTTTGCGTTCTCCCACGATTTTCCCAAACAGGCTGCGCCTGCATTCTTCAACACCAAGTTTTACATCGGTTTTCTCGATTTCTATGTAAGTAATTTCCACCTCAGATAGAG